AAAAAGCATGGGTAAATATGTGTGGGTTTACCTCCTGGAATAATGAAGTGATATTAGGATACTTCTTTAGATATTAGAAATAAAGTATTGCTTTCTTTTTCTTTTTTTTGTTTTTTGTAGGGTTTTTTTGCTTTATTTTTCTATGTTATATATTTTCACAAGAACATTAAGAAAAAGAGAATTCGCTAAAGAAAATATTTTACAGGTTTGACTGCAATCACACAAGAAAAATAAGTGAAGAAATAGCATGTGGACATGCAATGTCCAAATTAAAATCATTACTAACATGGCAAAGATATAATGAAGTCCTCTACAGATTAATTGCATTGGCAACATATAACAAAAGGTACAGTCCAAACAGTGTTTTAGGCAAATCTTCAGTACAGAGGCATGTAGTGATTTAGTTTAGAAATAATGAGAAATCACGTTCTGGTAACTTGTAGGGGTGGAAAAAAGTGGGATACCTGATTTTTTAAAGTGATATTTTGCCAATGGGTATTTCATCAACTGGAATCTGTCTCTTCTTGTTGGGGAATATTTTCACACTCAGGCTCCATATTGTCAATGCTTAGCACTGACTACAGTGCTCATTAATCCACAGTTCTCTGCACCGCTGAGAACAGAGTCCACAATAGCCAGCCCAGGGGTGAAATGGCACTTGTCCCCATCTTAGGACATCACACAAATAGTGAATAGGGAAGGTCATGCCAAAGTGGGCTTGAGAAGCTCTTGTACAGGCACTCTGACTTTATACTGTTTTAGCTGTAGCACAATGCTTTTATTTGTGCCAGTAAAAATGTAAAATATATGTTTAATGAGAGTTTATAAATGGGACAAAGAAATATGTTTTACATTCTACGTCTAGAGAAAGAGTTGGCACATGGTTTGTTACAAATTTTGGTCCAGAAATATCATTTCTTCTCACTTATGTATGCAAGCTATATCCACACACATTTCTTTCTAGATTTCCTATTAGTGGTTCTGAGACAGCCATTTAGAAGCCTTTATGTATGGTGTCACTCTATGAGGCTGCCAAGTTTCACTTGATTTTTAAAAAGATCACAAATAGGATTAAGTTTCTATATTTATCCCATCCACATTTTCCTAGCTTCAACTTTTCCTCCACACAGACACCAAATCCATCATTCTGACTTATTCTTCCCTGTTTTTGACCTCAAGAATCTTTAGAACAAGGGAGAAAGAGGTGTTCTAAAAGGAGATAATAGAAAACATTTTATTATGTCTGGTTTTAAGACTGGTCCAGACGTTCAAATGCAATTTCCATATATTTAGTTAATTTAAATAAAGTTAACTATCAGTGACAGATGCCATGCACTTTTTTAGACATCTACATGTTTTCTTTCTTCAGTAAAGCACAGTGAATACTCCATGCCCTTACGATTAGATTTCCAGTCTTACTTCCACTGGTAAATAACTATTTGCTACTGGACAGGTCACTTAAAATGTCTTAATAGAAATTTCTTCGTATGTAAATGTAATGCATTAGAGAAAATACAATTTTTAATACTAAAATTATATGATCCTATTTGAACACAATATTTTATATTTTATAATACTGTTTTTCAAATATTAATATTATTTTGTAATTTTGTGTTAACAGCAATGTCACTTAATTTGTATACATTATATATTTTGAAATATATATTTTCAAGATAGGTAATGAAATATAGTTCACTCTACATTTTATTTAATATTTATAAATATGTCTAGTTACTGGCAATGAGATTAAATCTAAACAAATTAAGATGAGACACAGTATTAGCATTTTTTTCCATATTGAAATCTTATGCAGGTTTTCATCCATACATTTACCTGACTGGAAAATATAAGCAGGATTGGAGATATAGGGCAGACATACCACTGCTTGTTTCTCTAAGGCCCATTTCAGACATACTAATTGATAGCATTTTTCCTTATTAGCCCGGACTGTGCCTGAATATTTCTCAGCCTGGCACTGCTGACAGCTTGTCAACACTCTTCAATCAGAAGTGGACCATTATTTGAAACCTTTTCCCTTTCCCTAAACGTAGGACCGTTATAGACAATTTGACATCTAGAAGAGTATAAACAAAGCCATAATATTTCATGACTCAGACATACCTACTGCTACCATTTCATTCTTGTATTTTTATATTAAGAGGTTCAAATAAAAGTGTATTCCTATCTGTTTTGTTATGATTTAGGATTGTAAAATAATGATAGTTTAACTTTTAGTTTTAAATTTAATTGTAAAATATTTCAATCATGTACTATATCTGAAAAAAAATCTAAATAAGGTAGAAAAATCACCCAGATTTAATGAATGTTATTATTTGACATATTTACTTGAGATTGTTTAGAGGGAGAAAAATGAGACATATTTCTAAACCTCAATCTTTAAACCAATTTCTCTTCCTACTAACATGGTAATTACTATAATAAATTTTGTGTATCATTTTTCTTTTCCTAGACTTACTTTACAGAATTTTTGTATGACAACAGTCTCATGTGGCATCATCTTATAATTGTGAAACACTTCGTAATTGGTATCATATAGTTCCCTCATTTGAACTTTATTTTTCTATGCATATTTTTCAAATTAACCCATTTATATCTGCCTCACAGTGGACAAATTTGCAAGTTTCTCTAGATATAAAGCAGTAAAAAAGAATAGCTGGTTATAGATTCAACTAATTTTTTTTAATTTTATTTTTTTTAAAGATTTTATTTATTTGACAGAGAGAGACACAGCGAGAGAGGAACACAAGCAGGGGGAGAGGGAGAAGCAGGCTTCCCGCAGAGCAGGGAGCCCGATGCGGGGCTCAACCCCAGGACCCTGGGATCATGACCTGAGCCGAAGGCAGACGCTTAACGACTGAGCCACCCAGGTGCCCCTAGATTCATCTAGTTTTTAAATATAGTAGATTTGGCCAAACTATTCCTCAAAATAATTGTCCAAATTTTCAATTTCATCAGCATTGTATAAGGGTTCTGTTTGGTTTTTTGTGAGTTCTCATCAATAGCTGAGATTAAAATATTTAATGATTTTTGTCCACCATATTGATTTTAAAAATACAGAATAAATTGTTATTTTTGTTGTTTTAATTTATAAGTTTTAAACACAAATGAAGAATAAAATAATAGCTATGCAAATGCTCATGACCCAATTTCAAGAATTAACTATCAAGGCTTTGCCTCAGTGGTTTTACCTGAGCTACTACTATTTCTGAAATGTTTTTAAAAAAATTCTAGACATCGTCTTATTTCCATCACCAACATGTTTCAGTATACATGATCAAAAAAATGGTTTTATTTAACCACAAAGAAACTTCTATAACTAACAAAATCCACAATGTTTTTTATCATCTCAAGATATTGAATTATCATATTGGATTTTCACCAATTCATAAAAAATGTAAATATAAAAATAGGTTTGTACAAATTAAGTTCTAGACAATATCCTTATTTTACACTTGTTCTTTTGTGTTTTAAATATCTTTTAATCTAAAACAGTATCTTCCCTAAAATCCCTCACTTTTTTCCCTAGATGAATGAAAATATAATTTAAAATTGACACAAATACATTTACCCAACATTATAATTACACTTCACACCACTGTTAGTGATAATTTGCCATATTTAATTTTCAAATACTCAACATAAGAATGAAATTCATCTTTAATTTTCACCTCAGTTGAAGTTCTTCATGGCTTTCATTAAGTAAATATATAACAAAAGAAAACATCTGCTTGAAGGAACTCAGAGGCACCACAGTATCCCCATTTATAACAACATGCTTTCTTAATTAGGTGTTTTTTAATGACTCTTTCTAACAAGAGTCAAAGACCTAAAATATCTCTCAGCAGTTGTTCAAAAATGTGTGGAGATTCAAAGTGAGATCATATAGAAAGCTCCTAACAGAAACAGGGACTCTGGCTTTTCTGTTGATTATGTAGTATTCAGCTACATTGTAGACCTGACAAAATTATTTTTCTTAGTGAGTCCCAAATAAACAAATCCAATTTGGTTATATGGAGATGCTCTGTCAGTGTGGTAAATGCAGAGCTATTCAATTTCCTATAAGGGTGAGAATTACCAATCATTTCAAAGAGAGTTGGTATGATCAGTATCCATTAAATGGAAAGTTTTTCATGTAAAATTCAGTAGTTGAAGTTTCTCTTTTACTATTTTGGTAATAGAAGATATCTTTTATCTCCGTCTTATATATTATAAACAGCCATTTTTACCCAGGCACTATATTTTTGTATCTATTTTCTAAAATAGCATCATCTTTTTGTTAAGATGAAAAACATTTATTTTCATATCTTTCATAATATAAAATGGTAAATATCTTGCATGGGCTTTCTGTTCGCAGAGTGTTTTATAACATCAATATAACTGATAATTAAATCCCCCACGTTTCAAACTGAATTGTCATTTTTGTCTATTTAATACGAGATAAAATACTATAACTTGGGAAATTGCATTAGGAAAGTTATTGCTATTTAGAAAAAGGAGAAAGATCACATTTTTTTCCCCTGGCTTGACTGTTGAGTTTTACCAAGATGGAATGGAAGATGTAAGCAGGTTAAATTAAAGAAAAAAAAATCTATCTCAGTATCAGCTATCAATCAAGGAGATTGCCAGACCAACTTTTCAAACTTCAGGCAGATTTATGGCTACAGATTAAAATGGACAGTGCTTGAGCAGAAGTTCCTAATTATAACATTCAAATTATTGCTGAGCTACAAAATATAACCAGCTTAATTGGAAGATAAATTAAATGCATATTGTTCCATTTTATGAATACAAAAGTTGTACCCTTACGTTAGCAATTGTGTGAGAAAATGTTATTTTTAAATGTAAAATTTTGCTTTGTTTCTTGTTCTTTAGGAATATGAAAGATATCTGAGACTTAAAAAGATTATAAAGGAACATACAGTTTTTGTTTGCAACTACTCTTTCCTCTGAAGAATACCAGTTGGAATCAAAAAAGCAGAATGAATTGTTGCTTATTGCTACCTTTTATGTTTGGAATTCCTCTCATACGGCCTTGCTTTACAGCAACAGAAATCTCTACAACAGATGAAGTTAAGCACCTAGTGGGTTCTCATTTCAGAGTGAAGCGTGGTTGGATGTGGAACCAGTTTTTTGTACCAGAGGAAATGAATAAGACTAATTATCACATTGGCCAGGTACTGATTTTATGAAAGTGTTACAGGAAATAACATTTTGTAAATCTAAATGGATGGGTTGAGGAAGTTTTAAGGCATTTGATGAATTCTACATTTTCTCAGTGGAACCCTTGGAAAGCTTCAGACATCAGCCTAATTAATTGTTTCAGATTTTCAAGCACCTAAAATATTTGCAAAACTTGAGGAAGAAGAAAAGCTCTGATTTTCAAATTTCACTTTTATCTCCCATATGAAAATACTGCCCTCATTTATCAACATCTAGAAATTTGATGGTGTTATTTTTGGTAATGGATCAAAGCAACCACACTGAGAATAATAACGTTTACCAACAGTATTTAGCCTGATTTTCTATTATGCTCAGTAGATATTGATTTACCCATCATTAATTTTTCATGAAGCAGATTAGTACCAACAGCTAAGTAGCTTCAAGAGCCTACACACTTCATTTGATTATGAAAGATAAAGAATGATTATTTTTACTTTCTTATAAGAATATATATATATATATTTTTAAATTTCCTTAATGAGATAGAACATTCCTTATTTATGTTTTTGGTTTTTATTATTCAATTTTCTTTAAACAGAGGTAATTACAATACCGTGTCCTTTTCTATAAGGATCTTTCTCTAGATGAATGAACTGAAATAAGTTTAACCACCAATTAACTGGCACTAAAATTTAATTGGGCCCAAAGGGTGAAGCACTCAAAATTCATTAACTCCCTTTTCCTAGCTCTTTCAGGAGAGCTGCAGTGTTAGCATGATGTCCAGATTCCAAAGGAGTTCATCTATCCCATCCAGCAAATGTATATGTGTATATTCAACCAAAGGTTCAGATTAGGATCTTAGGCAAACAGATTTCAAACATTTGTGTATGTATGTGTGCCTGCTTTGAGTCACATTTCACATCTTTTTATTCTCTAAGATGACTGCAGGTAAATCAGAGGCAGGATGGCACAAATGAGATCCATAGTTAAGCGTCTGCTAGTTGACTGAGTCTCTACGGCCACATTTACAGTGAACTCCGCAGAGCCCTATATGCCCTCCCATCAATGAGCGGGGTGACAGACAAACAGAGGCCGGTGACTTTTAGTGAATAAGGCTCTACAGGGAAGTGCATCAGTACAATCAGAGCAGAGACTACCTCCCTGGCTGACTGTCACATTTTCTGGTTTTTGTTTTTGTGCTCTGGGCACATCTCCTGTTGCCTCCTTTCACATTGTGATTGGTTTTCCCTATTTTTTTCATTCTGTAAAAATACTTATGAAAATAATCTATCAGATGTTTTCCCCTGAAACAATGTCATTAGTCTTAAATAACATACAGGTAACTGGTTTAAAAGAGAGTAAGAATGAATATTTAGGTGTTGTAGTTAAAGAGCTAGTAAAAGTAAAATGTAGTTGATGTGTCCAGATGACTTTCTTTTTGAACTGTTTGTTAACAGAGATTAAATTTGGAAAACACAATTAAGTAAAAAATTAAAGGCATACTGATTTGCTGAATCAGTAGTAGCTGCCTAATTGAAAAAAAATACTTTTGAATAGAAATACAGAAAATATAATAATACAGATATCATAAAATTTAAATGTGTTTAACTTATACATTTTGTGACATTAAGAGGCTGATGTTTAAAAAAATAAGTAAATATCTATATATCTATATATATATATTTTTTTTTTTACTTAAATTTGTGTCCTTCAAAAGATCAAGCTCACTGATTCATGAAAATTATACTGTGTATATATACTTGGAATACATTTATTCATTACTAAATTGGATTTATCATCATTCTAATATTGAATCACATTTTCAAACTGTATCGAAATGATATTTGAAAAACATAGCCATACCTTACTTTCATTTGATATACTTATTGGAAAGGACATTTGTTTCCCTAAATTTCTTATTATTAAGTCATGGAAACTTCCTTTTTATCTTATGAGTAATGAAGAGCCATCAAATTAAAAGAGCTATAACTCTTTTATTATCTCTTTATTATTATTCCCAATCTGTTTCTTTCAATGAATAGCAGTGTTATTCAACACATTATTAAAATTATTAAAATTAGTTGCTTTAGATATCTTCAGATATTCTACCCAATCACAGAGAAATGTATTAATTAGTCATTTTACCTTGAACTATCAGAAAAGTTATGAATTTGTTTAAGATTGTATTTCTTTGGTTAACTTTGTAAATTTTCGGAGGTCGTACTTTGAAGAAGGACATATTCATAAATGATGACTCAAGAAAAGTATGGATTCACAATAATTAGGGGATTATAGCATACTTCTTCTCTATATGTAAAAATAATTTAGATATGAAAACCAACCAACCAATGTTACCTATCGTAATAACCCTTGTTTTTATATATAAAATTCACAATTCTATTAACACTATGAACGAACAAATTTACTTTGCTTTTGAAAAATAAAAATAATGAGGGCACAAGAAGAAAAGATGTATTTGAGAACTGAGTTGAATATGTTAGAAAGAGTTAGATCTAATTTGGCAAAACTCAGAGCAGTGGAGTCTCTTGGGTCAGACAGACCTGTTGTCTAAATCTATACAAACCTATACAAAAACCATGACTCTTGTGAAAGTTTTAAAGATTTTCAGTCTCTCTTTCTCTGTATAAATGATTATATCAATAATATATATTTCACAATATTATGAGAATTATTATGGAAATCATATACAAAGCAACTTGTAGATTTTATGGCATGTTATAAATGCCAACAAGGATGGCTGAGGCTCTCATTATCTTCTCAACATGCTCCCTTATTTTCCTGGTAATATTTTCATGTTTCCTATGTGTTTTTAGCCTAAAGATAGAACATCACTGTTTAGATTTATCTAGATTATTATCTTCCTATCTGTCTCTAGATCCCAATCTAATACAAATATTTGAGATTATGGTTTTAGTGACCAAGAATGTAATCATAGAGTAAACATGAACCAACTTTGTTGTGCATAATTTATGAAAGGTACTTTGTTTTTCAATTATTATAGTTTCTAATTAAAATAATCCATTTAGAGTAATAAAATGTATATAGTGATTTACATTGAAATTTCAGACTCCTCTGCCTGATGATAGAATTTAATCTTAAAATTAATATTTCACCTGATTTAATATACTATGGGAATTACATGGAGTTATTAACTTGGGGAAAAATTAACAGACATGAAAATAAAATTGTTAAAATTCATTTGTCCATTTACACATGTCTGGAAACTAAATTATCCCTCTTTGTACTTTCAGCTAAGATCTGATTTAGACAATGGAAACAACTCTTTCCAGTACAAGCTTTTGGGAGCTGGAGCTGGAAGTATTTTTGTCATTGATGAGAGAACAGGTGACATATATGCCGTCCAGAAGCTTGATAGAGAGGAACGATCCCTCTACACTCTAAGAGCCCAGGTAATAGACGGCACTACTGGAAGGGCTGTGGAACCTGAGTCTGAGTTTGTCATCAGAGTTTCGGATATCAATGACAATGAACCAAAATTCCTAGATGAACCTTATGAGGCCATTGTACCAGAGATGTCTCCAGAAGGTATTGCATATTAATTTACATCAAAGATATATTAACAATGACAACAGATTTAAAATTTTGAGCATATGTTATGGAAGTGAATTATTTAAAGTTCAATACTTGTACTTCCTTCTACAAACATGTTAACTAAAATATTTAAAAACTTAGGCTATCATTTAAATTTTGTAAACAATGGTACCATGTATAAATACATTATTTGTCTTGTTAAAATATCTCAGGCTTCACGGCAAGAAACAGGGGTTAAACATGTATGTTTTAGGGATGTCTGGGTGGCTCAGTCCATTAAGCATCTGCCTTCAGCTCAGGTCATGATCCCAGGGTCCTGGGACTGATTCCCTCATTGGGCTCCCTACTCAGCAGGGAGCCTGCTTCTCTCTCTCCCTCTGCCTGCCACTCCCCCTGCTCATGCTCTCTCTCCCTCTCTCCTTCTCTCTCTCGTTCTCTGATAAATAAATAAATAAATAAATAAATAAATAAATAAATAAATAAATAAATAAATATTTAGAAAAACGTATGTTTTAGTGATTTATAAAATTCTTCAGCTTATTCACTTACTAGTTTCCCATTATAAAAACACATTTTCCAGAACAAGATATAATTTTGTATCTTAAAAAAGCACATAAGGCCATCCTGAAAAATATGCATGTTTAAGTAGTAGAAGCCAATTTATAAGACACAATTACTCTATGCATCAGAATCATAGACCATAAAGACTAAAAACAAAACAAAGAGGTTGAAAAGCTCTGTGCAACTTTATTTTCAAAGTTCCTTTCCATTCCAATGCTATTTTTATAAATATTTTAAATGTAATGCATCTAGAAGCAAGTGCTTTCCATAAGGTATAAGAACTGAATGCACTGAAAATCAGAAATGTCTTTCTAATAGAGAGGAAATTATGGTGTGGCTATGCAAAATTCGTTCACTCATTGAGTCGGAAAATTTTGATAGCACAATATGTAGTAAAATGAAGTTCATAAAATTTACTTAAGTGTGACAAGTTCTATTCCATAATGGTCATTTTAAATTATGCTAACATACTTTAAAATTGCTTTACCTAAACTTTTGATTTATTAGCCACCAAATCTAAAATTGTATATTCTATTGTATTTTTTCCTGATTCTTGTTTTTTAACATTCCAGGAAACAATTTAAAGACTTCTTTCTACATGTGTTCAGAACATAGGTCTTTACAGCATAAACAAATTTAGCTGTGAATATGTATCAGGACCAATTATCATTAGATGTAAATGACACATGGATATTGTTCTATTTGGTAGGTAGGCAATGAAACTTTCTTCTTCCCACTCCCTACTTCTCCTCCTCATTCACTTTCTCCTCCCACTCCTCCTCTTTCTTAAATAGCATACATTATGGACCTAACATTTACTAGAAGAATTTTTGAAATGTCATTTTGGAGGTAATTGCTAGTATGAAACTTATGTTTTGGTTATAACACACAAACAGTAACTATTTTAAATAAGGTGATAGTTGATGCTGTATGTATGAATGTAATAATTACGGGTGAGGTATGATGATGATTAACTGACTGGAGGAAGGGACATTTTAGGAGATGGTATTTGAAGTTGATTACAGAGAATCCAGTCATGTCGTGTTCTAGGGAAATATTCCCATACAGTATGATGAGGATTGTGTATATTAATTATTAATATGGGAGTTATTGTCATATAGCAAGCATGTAGGCATGGCAGTGTACGAGATACCCTTGGCAGAGAATGTAGGTAGAGAAGAGAAAAGCATACAGGGTGAGTTGACTGTTAAGCAAAAGGGGGTTGACTGGTAAATTAGAATGATTGAGATTGGCCAGTAATGTAGGAAAAAGAGAAAGACATGAGCAGAGATGTTGCAAAGGAAGAGGTCCTCCAATGGAATGCTGCTGTGAGGTTGAATAAAATCAAGGAAGTGTAGTGACTTTTGATTTGGCAAGTTGAAGGCTCCTAGTGATTTTGGTAAGAGGAATTCAGTTGAATTTATGCAGCTGCAATATTTTGGAGATTATTCTATTGCATGGATGGATGGAGAAGAGGAGGTTATGGTGAATTTAGCCAACTTTAAAAGATGTTATACTACAGGGAGAAAATAGAGATGTGGGGTACTAGGTAGAGAGGGATAAAGGTAATGAGGATTTTTTACTTGTTATCATTAATCATTTATTAAAATGGAAAATTTAAAAGCACAGTTATATACTCTAGGCAATGATCCAAAAAAGACTATTTTTGAAGAAAATAAGGGGGCCCTAACTGCTGGAAAACTGTTCTTGAGAAGGGAAAGACCCATGGAATCTAGAGCAATAGTAGAGGAGACAGATTCAGGTAGGTTAACACTTTGGTTGATAATAAACCAGTTGATACCTCATACCTGCATTAGATATGAGACAGAGGCAAAAACTGAGAGCAAAGGGGTGGATTTTTAAATAGAGAAGAGGAGGTACTCTTTTATGTAGAGTTGGAGAGTTGACCTACAAGGGGATTGCAGTATGTGCAATACAGTCTTTGCACATGGCATCAAGTGTAGCCACAGACTGTGGTTGATTCAACAAACATCACAAAACATTGGTTTGTTCTGTATTTGGCTAGCACAGATCTCTTTGCTTTGCAACTCAGGGTTCATGTATATATTAACCTAGTTAATCTGTGTAATTCAGTACATCTTGTGGGATTGCCAGTCTGGGTTCAGGCCTTGTATGGAATCATACTAAAATCAATGAGCACTTTTTATTCCTTTCCATGGGAGGAAGTGGCCAACAGAACAATAGTCAGCTGTCATCAGAAATGTTACTTTATATGGAGATAAAAGAATATCCCCATTATACTGTCAACTAGGTGTAGATGGTTTCCCTCTGAAGCATTCCTTTAATTATTAACTTTGTTTTGAAGAAATCAATTAATATTATATGTGATTTTTCTGTTTTCCTCAATCTCAATATTTAAATAATGAATAATATGAATTATTTTACCTGAATATATACTTACTCCTTCATGTTCTTTCCATATCATTGCCATTTTATAGGTTCTTGAGTGTTAATCTTGCTTCCACATATACTATCCACATATCTTATCCTTTATAAAGCAACAAATGCAAACATTTTATTTTCTGTTGTCTTAAATATTGTGCATTGTATTGTAGTCAACTACCAATTATTATATTTGAATCTGTACTTTGAATGTAGAATTTGAAAGAGTACTGAAAGGATCTCCATTTGAGGATGTCATCAGAAGAGAAAACCAAGAAAACTACAAACTACTTGTTGCTTATTAAACACATATTTATTTACATGTAACAGTGAGCTTTTACTGATTGCATTTATGTTTAAAATGCAATTACTTCCAAAACTAGAACTACCAAAAAGAATTGAGATGAAACACTGTTTTTCCACTTGTTGGTCTGGAATTACAAAATTATTATCTCTCTTCCACACAAAAATATAAGGTCTAATAGGCTAGGAGTCACGCAGTACCTGAAGTTTGTGATGACTGAGTAAAAGAATGAGTGCATGGACGGGTGAAAAGCTACATAAGTGATTAGATGAGGTTTAGGAGATGAACAGAGGATATTGGTGGATATAAAATCCAGGGAGGCTCTGTGGGTGTGAGTTGAGGCACACAGTGACCTAAAGTGCTACAGGCAGTCTCTGAATAGTGATTCTTCAATTCTAAAATTTCCCAGTGCAGAATTTCTAGAAACATTTAAATTTCTAGAAACATTCAACCTACTGAGACTGAATCATGAAGAAACAGAAAATCAGAGCAGACAGATTACTAGTGAGATTGAATCAGTAACTAAAAACATCCCAACAAACCAAAGTCCAGGACCAGTTGGCTTCACTGGTAAGTTCTACCAAACATTTAAAGAAGGATTAATACCAATCCTTCTCAAACTCTTCCAAAAATTTGAAGAGGATGGAACACTCCCAAGGTTAATTTTACAAGGCTGGCATTACCCTGATACCAAAACCAGATAAGGACACCACAAGAAAACTACAGGTCAGTATCTCTTGTGAACACAGATGCAAAAATTGTCAACAAAATTTTAGCAAGCCCAATTCAACAGCACATTAAAAAGATCATATACCATGATCAGGTGGGATTTAGCTCCACTATGCAAGGATGGTTCAACAAAAGCAAATCAAACATGATATACCACTTTAATCAAATAAAGTATAAAGATCATATAACCCTCTCAATAAATGAGAAAAAAATATCTGACAAAATTCAGTATCTTTCAGAATGAAAGCTCTCAACAAGTCAGCAATCCCACATCTGGATATATAAGAAAGGAAAGGAAATCACTGTCTTGATGAGATCTGCACTTCCATGTGCATTGGAGCATTATTTACAATAGACAAGACATGGAAACAACTTAAATGTTCATCATGGATAAATAGATAAATAAAATACACACACACACACACACACACACACACACACACACACACTGGCATATTATTCAACCAGAAAAAAGCATGAAATATTGCCACTGATGACAATATAGGGGAATGGACCTTGAGGGCATTAAGCTGAGTAAGATAAGTAAGACAGAGAAAGACAAATACTGTAAAATTTCAGTTATATATGGACTCTAAAAAAGTTAAACTCGTTAGAAAGAGAGTGAAATGGTGGTTGCCTAGACTGGGAGGAGGGAAAATGTTGAAATGTTGGTCAAAGGGAACAAAATTTTAGTTAGAAGATGATTAAGGTCTGGCGATATAATATTTGGTATGGTATTATTAATATTACTGTATCACATATTGGAAAGTTACTAAGACAGTAGATTTTAACTCTTCCCACCACAAAAAGGGTAAAATTGTAATTATATGAGGTGATGGAGGTGTTAAAATCTTATTATGGTAATCATTTCTCAATATATTTTTGTATATCAACCATCACTTTGTATACCTTAAACTTATACAACACTGTATATCAATAGTATCTCAATAAAGCTTGAAGAAAAAGAAATTGACTTTAATAGTATTTACCATCAAAA